TCTCTCTCTCTCTCTCTCTATCTCACTCGTTCTCTCGTTTTACTCTATTTTAAGTACTAACGAAGTTCATGGATTTTTAAATTCTTTTTTCTGTTTGTTTCTTTTTTTTTTTTTTCTCTCTCTCTCAGGCGAACGATGGACGCTAAGCCTCAACTACTATCGTTTGAATTTCTGTTACTTATTTTTGGGATTCATATTATTTTCATCTATTTTCGTCGTTTTGGTCTCGCATCGGGGATAATTCTATTTCGACTACTTAGCGATCTAATTACACGTACAATACAGCGTAGATTAATAGCTTAAATGTTCATATCTCGTTTCGTAAATAGGCTTCTTCGTGATATAATGACGATAAATATGTTTGGACGAACGATAGTAGTTGAGGTTCGATTCTTCTGGTGCTGTGGATCTGTGTGTACGATCGGAATCTCTGGTTTTGGCATTTGGTTCTCTCTCCTTTTCGTGGTTTGGAGATGAAAAAATTTGGAAGAGGGTGAGATTTATATATGTACAAAGACCTAAATTCGAAGAATCCCCTTTTAATTGCTCTAATTTGAAAAATTCGACGCACTTCGAGTGACAATCTATGATTCGTATAAAATACACGCATATCAAATTTCATTGTTTTCCGGAGTATTCGAAACTTTTTTCCTCTTTTTTTTTCTTTTCTTTTTTTTTTTTTTTATTTAGACTACTTTGTCTTAATTAGTAATTGAGACGAGTGTTGCATCATCTGATTTTGTACTTTGAGTCTTTCTTCCAAATGCTTGCGCGAACAAACACAAGAAAGGAAAAGCATTCGCTGCACGTAATATTACGTATAAACGAAAATTCTATAAAAATCTCACGTTCAGCGGTTTTATCATACGCGTGCTGACAAACCCACAGAGTAAAAATCACAGCACCAAAAAATGGTTCAATTATCAAACGTTGGTTCAATTATATCTAAACGTCCGAATTTCTACGAAACTTCCCGTTACGATTTCTCTTTCGCTTCTCGATTCTGTCGCTCTGCCACGTTACTTGTCGCTCTATCTTACATGGATTACGTGTTAAACTCTTAATCGTACGCCTCGTATAGCTTACCTACATATATACAGTCGCGGTTTCGGAAGAAGAACAGCCAATTGTAGAGTGCTGGTTTCGATCACGCAATTCATCGTTAACGTTATCCTTTTATCAAGTTCAGGAGAAACTTCAAGGATCAGCTCTGTTTGTGAAATTATTTTAGCCTGTCTGGTGAACAGACAGTGGTAATTTCATAGTAATTCGCTATCTTGTCACTTTTGCTATATTTAGAATTTAACAAATCTAAGCGTTGAATCTGATAGTTATATGAAACATG